ATATATTAGGCAAAATTGCATATGAAACTATATATATATATTAGGAGAAACATGTACACTAAAATGCTGGTGAATCATTTAAAAAATCACAGATTGAATGTGGATACTTGTACTTAAAATTGGGAAAAATGAGAAAATAAGAGAAACTGAAACTGACAGATTTGTCTACCCTTAGCCATAATGCCTCACAGAGCAAGGAGGTGATGAACACAGAAAGGCAGCAAAGTTTTGAACCCCAGTATTTTGTCCATCACACACCTTCTTTGGGCACTATCGTTACAGTTAAGGAGAGCATGGAAATGGGGACATAAATCTGCACTGTGCAAACTTCTCTGGAGGGAGGAAGCTTTCATGTGTACAGGCTTCCACCTGATCGTTCCAACCCAGATTGCTCAGATCCCATGGAAACCTTCCTTCAGATGGCTGCACAGTTTCCATGGATCCCAGAGGGAGGGGCAGCTCAGCCCCACTCCTCACTCACACATTCTTAACTGTAAGCATAATGCTCAGTCACCCAAGTATTAGTAACTGCTATGTTAAACCAGTATGTTGCCATAGAAAGTGTCCATGAGAAGAGTAGTCCATGGTTGTGCCTCTCTTTGGATCACCAACACATTGCATTGCTAAGTAAAAAATGCCATCTACCATGGCATCGGGGCCAGCCCTACCATTAGGCAGAATCAGGCAGCATTGGCATTCCTCTCACTATTCCTCCTGAGCCCCTTGGATGGACTCTTCTGTTAAGGTAGTGAGTGCCCTATAGCCTGTCCTCCACCCCCACAACTAGCCTGCTGCTCTCAGGTAGCAGGGAGGACACTATCCCATTAACAGTACTGTGGGAGGCAGAGGAATTTAGCTGCCAGCCCAGTTTCTGTATGAGGAATAATGAGATGGGTGCCATATTTTCCTTAGCCTCAGGCAGTAGAATGTATTGGGTTGGCCCTCCTTCTTGCCAACAGACGCGGAAAAGGCAGGGGTGGGGCAGTGATTTTTCAGCAGATAAGATCAGCTCACCGAAAATGTGTTACTTCCTTAGCACACAAAAGTGCTACATCACTATTTTAAAGTGTAAGGATGAAGGCACCAGAAGTGCATCCTCCTTCAAAGCTGAGCTGAGGGAAATGGGTATCTCCCAGAGAAAGGATGTGTGCCTTCCTCTGCCTCCTATCACTGGCTGCCCCACATTTACACATTAATCATATACAGTGGTACCCCTAGTTGTGGACACGATCCATTCTGGGGGGCCATTCGCACCCTGAAAAGTCCGCAACTAGAGCGCCTCTTCCGCGCATGTGTGCAGCATGATTGAGCACTTCTGCGTATGCAGGATGCTTCTGTGCATGCGACGAAACCCGGAAGTATACACTTCTTGGTTTGCCACATTCACAAGATGAAAAGACACAACATGAACCTAACACAACACAAGGTATGACTGTAAACAGTTACTTTGAATTTACTAAGGGCTTCCCAGTTGTCACTGTGTTTTTTCCTTCCTTTGATAACCATTTCCTCTTTTTGAAAGATATGGTGGAGAAGGCCAGAGCCACTTTGGTGCATGATATTTAATAGGCAGGTAAAGGTACCCAGGTATGAAATATCCACCTATTGTGTCAAATATGAAGGAAGCAGATGTGTAAGTCACAACTCCCCACCCCATACCTTTGTGACATGCCCAAGAGCAGCAGCTGAGAAAGAGCTGCCTCACTTGCTTTTATGCATTTCAGAAGCGAAAGCTGTGGTTAATTCACATCTACAGGCGTCATCCTCTGATGCAACACGCTGTGGATTTTGTACATAAAAATATTGCATAAGTAGAATCCCCAAATGTTGACAGCAGATGAGTGGGGCAGATGGCAGTGCAATGGCAAACAGCCCAAGTGTCAGGCACCCAGCATGACACTGGTGGTAACCACAACATTCTTGTAATGCAAAAACACTTGCAAATGTTCTCTCTCTGTGTGCGTCTCTGTCTCACCTTGTTACAAGGGTTGGGCATGACTGGGGCGTTACCGCACAGCATGTGTGACCTTTGCAAAAAGGAAGGAATAAAAAGGAATCCATTACCTTGCCTTTGTATCCCGGTTAACCTGTGGGGAGGTGATCAAGCAAGAAACTAACCAAGTGACCAGTTACAGACCCAGAAGTAGCTCAGCAGCTATTAGCTTCCTGCCAGGTGGGTGGTTATTGCGTACCAGAGGGACAAGGGGAGGGGAGGTGGTGGGGAGGCCAGCGCAGTGTAAATGTACTGGCGGAACCAATCTGGCCTTCCTGCAGACACATTTGCACGGTACCGACATCTCTACCATCTCATCCTCCTCTCTTTTTCTTTCTTTCTTTTTTACTTCTTGAAGACGGTGATAAGTGCAACTGGAACTATGCAGTACAGAGGGATTGGTAGCCCAAAATCCCTTGTCTTGATGGTGGAGAGGAAACTCCATTATATTTAATGATCCTTGCCTCAGCCCTATGGAAAAGTCAAGATAGGACTGGATAGGAAGACCTCTGCAGTTCTTGATAGATTTGTAGCCTTGTTTTCCCCTTCCCCTTATCTTGAACTGTCAATACTCTCGCGGACTTCTAGTTTATGGCTTTTTCTCCAGGAAGATTTCTTTCCTTGCACAACAGTTTGCTGTGCCTTCATAGCATGTAACTAACTGCATGATGATTGCCTGTGTGTACCATGCATGTTCCTAATGATGGAGCTGTATTCATAACTGGAAGCTCCAGCACAATATGCCCTTCTGATTAATGTCTGTGTGGCACTGAAGAGCAATGCCACACAGCCAAGAGCTCCCACAGCTTGAGAGCTGTCCTGATAGCACAAAGTCTAAAACATCCACAATCCAGTGTCCCCAGTTCAAGCCTGCTGGCACCTTACATGTCCTTACAGAAATTAAAGCTCCTTGCAGACATGGACAAGCTGGAAAGAGAGTGCAGCTCAGCAAGAGAACATGCACTTTGCAGGCAATGGGTCCCAGCTTCAACTCCTGCCATCTCCAGTTAAACTAATCAAATAAATGAGGAGGACCTTTATCTACTGAGATCCTGTGGTGGAGGGTCACAACCAGGAGTACAGAAGGGATGAGGAACCTTTGGCCCTCCAGATGTTGTTGACCTCCAACCCTGAAACAGCTTCAGGCTACAGAGCCAATGGCCAAGAACTATGAGAATTGAAGTTCAGCAACTCCTGGAGGGTCACCATTCCTCCAGAAACTAGACTGGCATTTAGTCTAACCTGGTAGAAAGCAGCTTCATCCATCCATCCATCCATCCATCCATCCATTCATTCATCCATCCATCTATCCATTCATTTTCTTGCACTTCTATACTCCCTTTCCTCCAAGCAGCTCAATGTGGCATGCATGGTTCTTTTTCTCCCCATGTAATCTTTGCAATAGCTCTGTGAGATAGGTTAGGCTGAGAGACTGCAATTGGCCCAAGTGAGTTTCATGGCTGACCAGGGATTTGAACCCTGGTCTCCCAGGTCCTAGTCCAACAATCCAATCACTATGCTATAATGGACCTTCCTATGTTCCTATGAAGAAACCACACCATAACATATAATTAATCCCTTGGGTCACTTTTGTCACAAAGGAAGCTCTAGGGTGAATGGGCTCTAACCTACTAATGGATATGGGGGGGGGAACCAGGCATTAGTTACAACAATTATCCTTCTGCACAATCAGACCTCATTATGAGAGGACCCAGTATGCTTCAGAGATAAGGTGGCTTGAAGAGTTCCATAAATTCATTGCTGTCTGCACAACCCTCTGGGCCTTTCCCTTGTTCAGTGTTTAAGGAAAATGTGCAGCTGAATTTTGTTGTGCTTGCCAAAGTAACATCCATCATGATGTTTCTTAAGGATATAAAGGCTGTTTTGTAAAGCATTCCTTTTTCTGCATGACACGCTGCTCAGTTGTCCACAGCCAAAGAACAGCCTGTACATGAGTATTCACAAAGGGTCAATCCCAAAGGTAAATATTGCTTAAGGGCTTAAGACAGTTTAAGCCAGCCCACAGCAAGGAAGCAAAATGAACCTAGCATTGTCAGACATCTCGCTCTACTTACTGACGACAGAATTTGTCACTAAGTTTACACCCACGCCATATAGTGAAAGCACATTTAGACCACATAGCTTCCCGAAGAATTGTGGGAACTGAAGTTTGTTGAGGGAAAGAAGCCACATGTGTCACCTGTGCTTTAAATCTTAAATATATGGTGTGGATGTAGCTTAATTCAATTCTTTCTTGAATCAATTATTCTGGCATGGTTTTTTGTTCACCTGCTTCAGTAATGAAGCAAAATCTCCCCATGCTTGATGCTTTGCAGGCGTTTCCTCCCCAGAAATGTGCATTTTACAGTTCTTCAGTTTTCTGTCTGAGCAAACAGATCACTGTCTTTATCCTTCCCCCAAAACAAAACACTGAGGAGTTCGTGCTAAACGAAACGAAACACAAAGCTGTTTTGGCAGAGGATAGTGACATGAAAGACCAGCTGTCTGCCATTATGACACTGATTAAGAGACCTGAACTATTTAGAAGAATGTCAGTTTCATGGGAAGCTTTGACTTCTGAAATACAATTTCAAAATTAATCTGAGCAGAGCAATAGTTTCCTAGTGCTGCAAAAAGCTGCCTTATCTCGCTGCAACTGGGGTGCACGGCGCTGTGGAAGTCTTGAGCCTGAGTTGCATGAGGTGCTTCTATTTTTAGTAAAGAAGAGTAGATTAATCTTTTATGCCATGTGTCACTTGTCTGGTTGAAGGGCAAAGGACCTTAGCCCAGTCATAGAATAGGAGCTTTATATGGAAAAGGTCCCAAATTCAAACTACAGCAACGCCACTCACAAGTATCACGTAGCAAGTGATGGGGGAGATCTCTGCCTGAGTCCATAGAGAGCCACCATCAGGTTGCCTGCACACTAAACCTTTGGAGCACATGCAAAGTTCATTATCTACACTGGAAATATTTTAGAGCACCACCAGAACATAAATGAAAAGCGCACACTTTTCAGATTGCAGTGCAATATCTGGTGTAGAAAATTTTAACGCCTGCATAATTTTCTGGTTTTGTGGTAATCTGAGGGATCAAAGAAGACAGAGAGAGAGACGGGCATGTTAGCTGGGAAAGAAATGAAAGCAACGAGGAAGTAATGGGCATAGAAAGTGGAGCAGCAGAATGTGAAGGCTGAGCCACCCACTCTGAAGCACTAAAGCAAACTGACTGTGACCCCAAGGGGAGTGGTTTGCAGCCTGATTTTTCCCAGTCAATTGGATTATCCCCATTATCGAGTAAACCCGAAATTACAGGGGGGAAGCATTGGAACCTGTGTTGTTTGAGGGTAACATTGTGTGGATTTTGCAGATCAAATGGGTATGCAAGCAGCTGCAAATACATGGTTCACTCTGGTGTGGACAAGATCTGTGTGCTAAAAGCAGCATAAGGAAGTATCAGCATAATACCTGCGCAAGCAGAAGAGGATGGAAAGTTTCAAGGAAGGGTGTAGGAGGAGAAGTATTTAGGTCTCGTTTCATTTGGTCCACTTGCTTCAAACAGGGTGCTCAGCAGCCAGTTGCAGTACAGGAAAGGTGTTGAACATGCAGAATACCACCAGAAAGAAATATAGGTGCCTGTGCAAAATAAAGTGCGCATTTTAACTGAATTCACTAAAATCGCTATAATCCAATCAAAATGAAAAACAATTGTTATTAAACCTCTGCTTCTGCTAAAGTATTGTGATGCAGTGTTTAATCTATTGGACTAAGTAGGTGTAGGTCTTAGTGAGAGATCCATACATCTTTGCCACTTTACGTTTTTCTCCTGTGATGCCAAGGGAGATAAAACACTACAGAATTTTATTTGGCAAGCATAACAGTTTCATTGCAGAATATTTTCTCGATTATTTAAGGCTGCGATCGTGACAAATATTTCTGCCACATGTGCAGTCTTGTGATCTACCAAAGTGAAATTTTACAGCTGACACACAAACACTGGTGAATTATTCACATTGCCTACAACACCTGATTTGTTTCTCTTGCTCTGGCTGTAAATAAGTGGAATTTGCACATAGGTTCTGGAATCAGCTGAACCACCAGCACACAATGGAACCAAAAGGTCTCCCTCCAACAGTGAGTTACTAAAGAATGTTACCATCAGCTACATTTTAGAATCCAAGCCTTATGAGGAACGGTCATGGGAGTTAGGTATGTTTGAGAAGACCGAGAAGTGATAGGATAGCCATCTTCAAATATCTGAAAGGCTGACCCATGGAAGATGGAGCAAGCTTGCTTTCTGCAGAGACATGAATGACAGAGGCCTATAAAATTATGCATGAGATGAAGAAAGGGACACAATTTCTCCTCTCCCTTTCACATAATACTAGAACTTGGGGCCATCAAGCACAATTACTTAGCAGTAGATTTGGAATAAAAAGGTCAAGGGACCCCTGACCATTAGGTCCAGTTGTGGCCGACTCTGGGGTTGCGGCATTCATCTCGCTTTATTGGCCGAGGGAGCTGGCGTACAGCTTCCGGGTCATGTGGCCAGCATGACTAAGCTGCTTCTGGCGAACCAGAGCAACGCACAGAAATGCCGTTTACCTTTCCGCTGGAGCGGTACCTATTTATCTACTTGCACTTTGAGGTGCTTTCGAACTGCTAGGTTGGCAGGAGCAGGGACCGAGCAACGGGAGCTCACCCCGTCACGGGGATTCGAACCGCGACCTTCTGATTGGCATGCCCTAGGCTCTGTGGTTTAACCCACAGCGCCGCCTGCGTCCCTAGATTTGGAATAGGTTTGTTTAATTTACCAATTTATGGCATGCACTGCCAAAAAGTAATATACCCTTGGGTAAAAGTTGCTGGGTGGGAGAGAGACAGCAGAGGAGGGCTGTTCATGCTGGCCTGTGGCCTTCCTGGAGGCATAAAAGTGGTCACTGAGAGGAACAGGTTGCAGTACCAGATGATCTTTGGTCTCATCAAGCAAAAGGCTATGCTTATGTTCCAACAAGAAAATAAACGTTTATTTTCTCTCAGGTTAAAATTGAGACAGTGGTGGGGTCAGTTGTGACATACTATGCTTCTTTCAGGAAACATGATTAGTCAGTTTACTGCTTGGTAATAACAGGAAGTGCTCCCTGACCCAATCAGAAGACAAAATATCTGGTGTTTTGCATCATAGGCTTCAGAAACATGGTCACTTTATCCTTCCATGTTTCTATTGTCTAACCTCAAGCAGCACTTTTTGACATGCCCTCAGTGTAGCTTTGGTTGGAGCAACAATGGCACATTATGGGTTGTAACTTAATTAGCCACAACCCTATGTATAGTTCTATGATTATTTTTTCTCTGGGGGCTTTCTGTCTTTATTTACAGAGGTCAATGTATCCCTCAAAACCACAGTCCCAAATAACTTCGGCCAAACAGATCCAAAAGGTCTGAATATAGACCCAAACTTAACAGTTTCTTATCCTTAATTTACTTTATTTAAAAAAAATCACCAATTAATTTTATCTGGGTTTAATTTATATTCTAATATTTCTTAGAAAAACTGCTTTCTGTTTGCCATGTTTCCCAGATCATTTTTTCCTCTCTTTTTTTTTTTGGTCATTCTTCTGGTGAGCTTTCGGCTCATTACCAGCTGTTTCCAGGAAAGAATCAGTTACGGGAAATATAAAAATACGAGCCCACAATTTAGAGAAGCCAAGAAAGATGGACATAAACAGCACATCTTTAGCTCCCTAGACTATTTTACTGTATTTATGTAATGGTTAAGCTCTAACGGTAAAGTAAATATATACCACAGCTGCAAAAATAAGGCACTACAAAACCAGAATACAGTTCTTGCAGCCATAACCATGAAAATTTTGCCCTCTAAAATGGCTGGGAGCTGAACTGCCAATGAACTTCTCTGTCAAAACTAATTTCTTGACAAATTATAGCACACATTAAATTCCCCAGTAACTATTCAGCAGCAGAAACAGATTTTATTAGACTTCTATTTGGAAAACTGGAGGGCAAGGATGGGGTCAGAACTAAACGAACACGCAAACAAACTGCTGGCTGCCTACAAGAGTCCAGAGATCTGGCCTGGCTCCACCATTACACAGCAACACACATGGGGGGGGGTGTTTTATCATCCCTATAAGCCGCTTTGTGGAGGAATTTTTCCTCAAAAGGTGGACTAGACAATTTTAAATAAATAAAAACACAGAACAAGTTGGCCATCTCAGTTGGCAGGTGGGGGAGCAGAGAGGCAACAGTATTGCACTGCCATTTCTTCTGCACACATCTCCCCACCACCACCACAAACTGGAAGACAAATTTGTGTTTGCCATGCAGCCAGTTTTGTGCTCCTTAAAGTGGCCTGTTGCCCTTAAGCATGGTGGAAGACACAATCCCATCATCAGCACTGGAGTAAGAGTGAACTTCCAGTCTAGTCCACTTGTGTGTTTGGAATGAAAGTGTGGCGCCATTTTGTCTTTTGCCTCGGATCCAAATGCCCTGGGACGTCCTGTCAGTGACAAACTGAATTGAATAGCAGAGAGCATTACTAACTAAATATTAATACTAAATGCTAACTGTTATAATGAGATGAGCAATCTGAACTTCCAGATATTGCTGGTCTATACAGCTCCTGTCTTCTTTCACCATTGGCCATGTTGTCTGGGGCTGATGGGAGCTGCAGGATCTAACAGGACCTGGAGAGTCACAAGCTGCCCATCCTTGGCTTGCATGTCTGAGAGGCAAATGACAAGCACAAATCACAATGGCACTATTGTTGTTGTCCTATGGCACTCACAGTCACCCTCTTCAGTGAGGCCTTGCATGCTGGCCCTACACATGGTTCCCCCTAACCTCGTAGCAGCATTTAGTAGCAAGGTTTGAAGAAGCCTTGTAAGAGGGTCTGCTTGCATGTGTTGACAAAAAAACAACAACACCCATAATCCGAAGCCAAACAAGATTACAAGACCCCTTTGGACCTATCAAGAGTGGAGAAGATGGTTTCATGACCCTTCGCCTCAAACAAGCTTTCAGTTTAATGATGCCTGAAGAGGACTAGTTCCATAGCAATATGTCAGTGAACCAAGATAGTCAACAAAGGGCCAGAGCTAAAATGTTCTGGGAATTTCTTCATTCTATAAACAAGGATTAATATGGTAACAGCCTCTGACTTTGGATACTGCAAGTAAGCTCTGAGATACACAGGGTTGCATATTTTGTTGGTCCCTTTTACGGCATGCTTAGCTGAAGTTTATCTCTCCTGTTTTTTGGTTTTTGTTTACATATTGGTAAAGTTTGTGCTATCGTATTTTATTATCTGTATAAAAATATACAATGCCCATCAGAAACATGCAGGATTGATTCCCAGAATCACTTGTGGAAAAAGTGAGACATGAGATATTAACCCACCAGCTTCACACAGTGGATGTCAAGGACACTGCATTGTATTTAATCAGATCATGAGTCCATCTAGCTCAGCACTGTCTGCACTGACAGGCAGCAGCTCTTGGGGGTTTCAGGCAGGAATCATTCCAAGGCTTGCCTGGCAATGTCAGGGGCTGAACTTGAGATCTTTGGCAGGTGTTCTGTCACTGAGCCACAATACACCATAAATATAAATGCTCAATACATGTCTTATAATCTCCAATAAATGGACCCCAGTGTAGCACCGGGTATCACTAGGGAATTCCTTCTGTGTGGGGTACAGAACAGTCCATAGGGAACAGGACTGTTGCACTTCCATTTTGCTGCCTGAGCTAAAGAGCAATATAGCACCTCCATCCCATGTGCAGAAGCTGATCCAAGCGGCAGCTGAATCTTACTTCTGTAGCGGTGATGAGGGCCGCAGACTGGCTTAATGCATGCAGGACAGGCCATGTGGTCCAGACAGTTCTGCTTTCCTACATCTTGCTGTCATTTCCCAGAATTGGCTGCCTGAGGCAACTGCCTAATGGGAAGGCTGGCCCTGCCCACTCCCACCATGTGCCTCATGAGCGAACACAGTCTCATTTCCCTAATATACAATTATCAAAAGAGATAAAACTGTTACAACTATAAATCAAGTAAAACCATTCCAAATGGAATAGAATTTCGGCTGAAGGCATTCAGGCTTTTTAATCTCACCACAAAAGTCTAACACTAACGTTTGATAAATAGAGTTGTTGCTCCTACTGGTGATGGCTGCTGAGCAATATTATGTTCTTCTCTTTGAAAAGAAAAAGGAAATATACACTGAAATTTTATAAGTCAAGACAATCTCCAGAGGACATTTTTTTCTAAGGTGCAAGTTAACAGATGTTTTCTACCCTTTTGTGCTCTTGGACTAAACTTATTCAGGGAAGCGAAGTTGATTCAAAATACAGTCTTGGAGATGCAGGAAGATCTGCAGCCGAAGGGCCTGCCTGAGTTTCCAGAACAGGTTGAGAATGCCAAGTTCTGTCTCTGAATGTGGTCACAATGACCCTGTACATTACAAGCTGAATTACGCAAGATCTCTAGCTGGAATAAATGTGGAAACAGCACCTGCTAATAAAATGCTTAATTAGTCGCTAAAACAAAGACAAAACCTCATACATCTGTAGTTGTAATGCACTGGAAACCAGTAAAACCAGATAGCATAAGTCAAACTATGAATGCCAAGCAAGTTACCCTATGTTCAGGAAAAAAGAGTTTCATAAAGAAAGCAGCAGTACCCACTAAACCTCTTCTACTCCTACCCCACTTTAGCAGTCATGGCTTCCTCCAAAGAATCCCGGGAACTGTAGTATGTTAAGGGTGCTTAGAGTAGTTAGGAGACCCCTCACAGAGCCCAGCAGCCTTAACAAGTTACAGTTCCCAGGATTTGGGTGAGAGGAGCCATAACTGGTATAGGAGTGTACAGTGTGGATGGGACCCAACTCAACTATTTATTTTTGTTACAACTCACTGGAATGGTGCAGGTAGACAAACACAGGCTAACTTACTGAGGACTGTACCCAGTTGCTGGTTTCTCTGAACCTGGGACTGCTTACGCCACTGAGGAGATGCAAGTCCAACCGCTCACACAGCCTCCTGTTGCAAAACTGAAACTATTCCACACTTGTCTCTCACATAGTCAGTTTCATTCTGAGGCCTTCTGGGTTTGACCTCTTTAAGAATCAGTATACAATACCCCTTACCCCCAGACTGAGTAGCATGTCATTCTTGTCAGAAAATTTTGTACCCACTATGGTTTCCCATAAGGCCTCACTCCAGCGGTCTCAGTGGACCACTTTGATTGTCTCTCTACAGAAGTGAAATAATCAGTGATGGGGTTACATTCAGCTGATGCTGGAGATGAGCCCATGATGATGATGTGAATAGGGTGGCACTTTTCAAATGACACTATACTTGATGTTTGGAGTATATAGATTCTTCATGACATATGAGTGCCCCAATGCAGCAAGTCAGTGTGATGGCATCCACAGGCCCTATAACTTCTGCAATTGTAGATGAAACAGTTCATGGACCAATTCCATAACAGCTGATCCCGATGGAGTGTTTTACTCACTGAAGTGGTGTCCAGTTCCTGCAAAGTGGTGTCCAGTTTCAGACTCTCATTCTGGGACCCTTCTTCTTACAGCCATGACAGTATTTTTCACCTTCCATTCATTTTGTCAATGCTGTTCCTCCCCACCTACCCCGTAAAACATGCAGATGGCCAGTGTTGGATACAACGTGACCTTAAAGGCATGAGCCTCTGTACTTGCTGATGAGCAGATACTTGCTTGCCCTCGAGCACATTGCAAATTTCCCTTAAATAGTGGGAGGTATTTTGCCTGCTAACATCAGTGGTACAGTAGCAAAATTCCTATCTGGGCTGGAGAGAAGGCAGCAGTAGACTGCTTCATTATTACCTCCACAGATTAGAGGAAGTTGCCCAGGAGAACTGCCACCTTCACTAAATTCATTAAGGTGACACGGCTCATAGACATAGCCTACTATGCTTGCACTGGTTTGCTGATCACACTTTTAAAAATGAAGCTCTGTAGGCTAACAGATGGTATCATGTGGAAGTAACCAGAAGAGCCAAAGACACTGTCAGATTTGGGAGGCGGAGAGAGAGAAGGTGGTGGCTGCTTGGCTGAACTCCATTGCCACTCTTCAAAAATGAATAAATCAAAGTGGTAGACAGCTAGAGCCTTGGCTATCGATGCAGGTGTTTGCTTTTTTGCCTGTCACCACCACTTTTTACTGCAGTAGCATCACCAAGGCATCTTCAGTATGATTTGGGGCTACACAGGGCCTTGGACCTGTGCCCAGGAGTCCAACCCTAGCAGACTACTGCATTATTCAACATAGGTCTTGGTGTTTGGTAAAGTTGGTTCCATAAGGGAACAAACAATAGAAAATTTATTTGCTGGTTGATTTACACCTGTCGATTCTTTCCTTTCTGTTTAATGGTGTTTTATAAAGGAACAAGAGTCTCCAGATGCTGGTTGATTCACATAAAGTTCTTTAATATAGCTCAGTACCATATTTCCTGACTAATGTCCAGGAGAGCGGAGGATGGAGCACAACAATCTGGTCTCAGAAAGTTGTTCTCACAGTTTCAGGGATTCAATGCATTGAAATTAATTCTTACCTCGTTGCTAAATATTTATGTAGTGAGGGAGTAGCATACGCTAGACTTCTCCTAATGAATGTCTACTTCTTACAACTCACTGAAGGGCTGTTGGAAGTTAAAAAACAACAACTGGTGAAATGAAGACAACTTAGCTAGAACTGTCTCTAGTTGCAGGTCCCTCTGGGCCTGGGTCTGCTTAGGGTACCGAGGAAATCATGCAAATCCCACCAATCTTAACAGACTCCTACTCCAGATCCGAAAGTGTTCTGCCAGTTCTCTCAAGCATTGTGCCTCATGCCAAGACCCATTTGGGGCTTGGCTCTTAAAGAGTCAGTGCTCAGCTGAAACTACCTATTACAAATGGAATCCTGCCCAAATGAGGAAAACAGAAAGTGGAGTAAATATTAGCTTCTTAAACATGAATCTACAATGCGACAGGCCAGCAGACTGTTTTGCTATAACTGTTGTTTTAACTTCAACTGGCAAGGTGTAAATAAAAGCAGAAATCTGGCACTGCCAGTGATTCTTCTGAAACATTTCTGGTTTGTTTGTTTTTAATTACTTCTGAAGATTTATGCTTTTTAAAAATGTATTATTGGGTTACATTGCAAAAAGCAGTAAGTGCATTTACTAATGCTGCACAGAAAATTCCTCCTGCATCTTTTAAACCAGGCTTCCTCAACCTCAGCCCTCCAGATGTTGTTGGCCTGCAACTCCCATGATCCCTAGCTAGCAGGACCAGTGGTCAGGGATGGTGGGAATTGTAGTCTCAAAACATCTGGAGGGCTGAGGTTGAGGAAGCCTGTTTTAAACCATTTTCTACCAATAAGAAAAGAAATTGCATTCAAAAATTATCAAAGAGGGACTGAAATTCTTATGGGTTGGATGGCAGGTTGTTGTTTTTTGTGTGTGCTTACTTTTGAGGTGCCGGGAGATACCTGTGAGTGTCCTTCCTTTGGTCCTACAAATTATCTCACCAGTAGTCTACAGGTGATCTGTGTTCTGCAGCCTTCCTGGGTGCCCCGGCCACAATTAAGGCCTGGGGTAAGACATTGTGCAGACACAGAATCACATATTCATAGAACTGTAGAGTT